GTCCCATACTTTCGACCTATTGCCACATCTAATCAATGCTTAGAAAATATATGTTGGGCAGTACCTAGATAGGTGGCCGCTTGGCAATATCAGGTGATGTAAGCTTGGATGTGCGGGTGGTGTAATGTATAATGGCACGGAATTGTTAATTGGAGCTCCGAGTTCCAATTTCAACTGGGTTCATTATATTCACTTACGCGCCAATATGCTTGGGGAAGGTATGAATTCACCACTTCTCCTTCCTCCCCAGTTATGGGTTAATTAGTAAGACTTCTATCACTAAAACATTGTTATCTCCAAAAGTAAAATAAAATTGCGTGCACAATATTTAGATTTCAACATGAAATATTTTCATATATATGTGTGTGAGTGAGAGACAGATAGACGGGGAGGGAGTGAAGAAGTAAGGGGGATAAAGAAAGAGAGAGATTTTTGAAAGTTACTAGAAAATTACGCATGGTAGAGATGGGCAATTATCTCATCCTTACATATGGAAAAATGGAGTAGAATAGAATCCTATAAAAATCATAAAATTATAGGTGACTCGCAATTTGGCTACTTCTATGGAAATGTATAAATCCATAAAAAAAAAGATCATCTCCTCTAATCTATCATTCCACAAATATCTACACCAGTATATTATTTTTTTAAAAAACGATTAACAAATTACTTTCTCCCTACCTCTCAATTAAATATTGTATTAACTCCACAAATGAACTTACAGAAATTCTTCATGATGCAAAACCAAAAACCAAATAATTGCATCTTTGGTTGTACAAAATGTATTTACTAATGTCCCCGTCCCTGAAACGATTGACCTCATTATCCGTGATTTATACAATCACATTTCTCTCCCACTGGTGTGACCAAGTAATTGGTTAATGAATAACAAAACAAGAGGCTTTTTTGGGGTTTTTTTAAGCATTTCACCCCAAGCAAGGCGGGAAGCCACTAGGACACAAGGGGTTACAGACAATTTAGAGCAACATCAGATAGGAGTGATAGAAGAAAGGATGAGGGTAGTGAATAGATCAAGGCAACTGGAGATGTCGATTGACATTACACTTGAATAGCTGGAGATTATAGCTCACAGGGAAACAGGAGAAGGGAAGGGAGTTCCACAGGCGAGAGGTGCGAGACAAGAAGCTATTAGAAGTAGAAGAGACTATATTTAGTCGTCCCCCCCCCACAAGGGCTTCATGTGGCACAAGGCCTTTTTAACGTGGGCATTTCCGAGCCATTAGGCTCGGCCAAAAAATAGCCCATTTGAACCCGTATAAACTGGTTCAGGGCCGGTTTTACCTCCCCGAAGGAGACTCCGCCCTTCGGCGTAGCCTCCTTCGGGTTCCTCTCCGTCCGTAGACAGAGAGTTAAACCGAACCGTTCGCTCAGAAAGTGAGCGACAGAGTAGAAGAGACGGTTACATTTAGGAGTTTCGACAGTGAAGGGGTGAGAGCGGGATGCTCGTTGCAGATAAATAGTGTATTGAGCAGTAAATACAACAGAAGTGGGTGACACGACTTGGGAATGTGTGTCGGTTGACCAGCGTTCAGTCTATATCACTGTTAATATTTAACAGCCCCCCCCCACGAGGGATGTATGTGGCACAAGGCCGAGTTTACATTATAAACCATTTTGGACGATCATAATAAATTTAAAAAGTTAACCAATAACACCCCCAACTTAAAAACCATATCAATAAACTTATTACTGCTAACAATGCTCTATTATGATCGTCCCAAATGGTTTATAATTTGGAGTGGTACGCATGTTTGTTTAAAATAACTAAAGTATTAGTTGTATCAGCTGATAAAACTAATACTTTCGATATGGAGGAAATTCTAACAGAAATTGCTCAAAGTTAATTTCAGAAGAAATATGGTCTAAACTTTCAACTTTCTTAAGTCATCATCGGTGTCTGTATACACTAATAGTAAATTTCGTAGTGAGTGTAGTCACGTACGCCAAGAGTGTTGCCTACGTGACAACATTTTGCCGACGTCATTACACTCTTTGCATACGTCACTACACTCTTTGCATACGTCACTACACTTTTTGCCTATGTCACTACACTCACAAGTTCTACAAAACTTACTTTCCTACCGAGAAAGCCAGCATGCCATCAGATCATTAATAAACAGTATATGGATCATTGTGACATTGGATAGCTACTCATAAACAATACTAAAATACTAGCAAAAATCAAATAGTAAAAACAGACTTATGATCCTTGAAGCAATAGTCATGCAACAAGAACAATTATAATTTAAGAGCCCATATCCTCAAATGTATATATATATATATATATATATATATATATATATATATATATATATATATATATAAAATAAACATACATACGTCGTCTATGTCACAACAGTGACCCGTTCTACATAACTCTACCTACCCTGAAAAGTGAAAAGTTAGACCATATTTATTTAGAAATGCACGTAATTTCCACCCCTATCTGAGATAGATTATTCTTTTGGAAAAGTCGATCAATAAAATTAAGCGACACAAAATGTATGTTGTCTTTAATAACATCTGCCTTGAAGAACATTTGATGCTTATATAAATATCTGACTGCTCGTTTTGAGTGACAGAAATAATTTCAACTCGGAACTAATTTTACCTCAGAATTAATTTCAAATCAAAACTAAATTCAACTCTATTTAAAATCAGTTATTAATTTCCATGAATTCCTAAACAAAATGCAATGAGGTGGTGTTAATTTTTTAATTTAGCATTAAAAATCCTTAGTATATAAGATAATTCAGAATTCATCTTTTCTGCAACTTTCATTCTATTTTGTTCCAAATGAATAAAGTCGTACTTATTTATTTCATTTTATTCATTTAAATCTGATCCAATAAAAATGCAATGTTCTTTGTAGCAAGAACAGTTGATTGGTTAGCTGTTTTTTGTTTGTTTTATTGTCTTTTGGGGGGGTGTAAAAAAAACTGTTGTTCAATAGAAGACGTTATTGATCGAAATTTAAGAAAATCAATAAATTAAATTTTAATTTCGTTCGAAAACTTCAGATTTATTGAAATTTAAATCTGCGTACTGAGGTTTTCATAGATTTCACGTTCGTATACTGATAACTCTGTTACAAATTACAGTATTGAAATTAATTCCGAGTTGAAATTATTTCCTAGCTGAAATTAATACCGAATTGAAATCAATTCTGAAACCCTCGTCTTAGATCCTTATTGCAGACGCCTGTTCAGTCTAATTTGTGTTTCCCCAGCACCACAGAACCAATCTCCGGTTTTGAATGCGTCTCCCCAGGGTGATATTAACAAACCTCATTGGCATTCTAATCCCTCAGCTACACGCCTAATACATACATATATATATATATATATATATATATATATATATATATATATATATATATATATATATAATTTCTATATATATTATATATGAGCGGTACTTATTGGAAAGCGCTCAATATATATCAGTGATAGAGCTTACATATTCAGTCGGATATGAATTTGTAACCTTGCGTTTCACGCTTTTACGATCATCAGAGAAACTGATTTATTTTTTTAAATTTGAACCTATTTATGTTACTTTATGTTTGATTATGTTCGGTAGTGCTGGTGGGGTGAATTCTCCTCTGTATCCGTTTTGGGATGACATTCATACGCACACAGGCACACATATATACATATAGGTGTACGCATTATAGTTCACACAAGCACACACATATATAAACAATGTGAGACCAGGCGCTGTTATATCCATTTGTTCGATCAGACATACATACGAATTTGTCATCCTATTTTGGTGTTGAGACTGTATGTAGCGAAGTTCTTTCGACAAGTTGTGGGCTGAGGTGTTCTTGGCTCTATTCAGGTCGGCCGTCTATGTCATCAAATGGAATAAGACTTCTTCACACACACATACACACATGTAAAAACGTGCACATATATTTCTATCCGCTTTGGTACTACATTATCACATTGCTTAAAGGCTTCTATATGTGAACATGGCGGGTTTTAACGCTGATTACTTGTGTATTATAGATGATTGCAATTATATTGATAGTGCTAATGATTGATATTCTAATTGGTAATAATAGTGTTTGGTGTGTTAACGGTGGTAATTGTAATATTAGCCGTTTCCCTATAAGGAAACATTTGACATTCAATGACCGAGCAGCCAGCACTGCTATTTCCAGTATTGATGAGTGTTTTCCATCCTAAATTTTTTACTTGAACTCGTGTAGAACATTAACATCTTCATTATGTCATTATTTTCTCTTTGAGTAACATGTGCTATCCATTTTAATTGTTGCCGCTGTTGGCAGTCCTCAAGTGATGTGGTTTCTGTTATTTGGTACAGTTCTTTGTGATTCAGCTGCGCCACTGGACACTGTTCAAAGAAGTATGGACTTTGTCAAGATCCTTAAGCTTCACTCGCTCAAAGTCATTTTTAACTTTTGATCTTAGAAAGCGGTTGTAAACAGTTGACTGTTTAGATATTTCTAAACAGATTTTGCGCCATGCATGACAAACATATGAATGTCTCGATTTGACGAGGTTATTCAAGAAAATGACTCGGATTTTCAGGTTAATGTTTTGGTTTTGTAGCAATTGACGGTATTGGGAAAAACTACATCTTGCGCAGCCTATCCTATGTTAAATTTCATTAACTCTGATCCTAAATTTGTTATGAACTATCCATATATCTATTAATCTATCTGTCTATCTCTACATACATACATACACACACACACACACATATATATATATATATATATATATATATATATATATAAAATTTTAAACGTTAGTTTTAGTGGATACTCATATTTGAGTAGGGGCTCCATTTATTTATTAAATAGTATATTTATTTATTTTCATCTATATATAATGTTTAATAAATAAATAGAACGTCTACTCAAATAAGAGTATCCACTAAAAAATAACGTTTAAGTGATAAAAATCTGTCGGATTAATAAATAAAAATCCATTACCTTAGAAAAATATTTAGATAGATAGATAGATAGATAGATAGATAGATAGATAGATAGATATGCAGAAACTGAAATGTCTCCCAACACTTGGTTCCATGCAGGTAGTATCCAGTGAACGTGAGGCTTCAGAGTAAAATTGCATTTATTTAAAGAAATCACATTTTTCATAAAAACTTATAAATAAATTCAGATTAAATATGAATCCGTAATCAAACAGATTGAGATAAATAGACAGACAGTGAGAGAGAGAGATAGATAGAGATGAACTGACTGAGAAATATGAAACATTGAGATAGATAGATAGATAGAGAGAGAGAGTGAGGAGAGAGAGAGAGTGTGATTGAGAGGGGAGGGAGGGATTGAGAGAGATAAGAGACATTGAGATTGAGATAGAAATAAGAGACATTGATAGATAGATAGATAGATAGATAGATGATAGATAGATAGATAGATAGATAGATAGATAGATAGATAGATATGAACAGGCAGAGATAGATAGATAGATGAACATAGATAGATAGATAGATGATGAGATAGATAGATGAATAGATAGATAGATAGATAGATAGATAGATAGATAGATAGATGACTGATTGTGATAGATAGATAGATAGATAGATAGATAGATAGATAGATAGATAGATAGATATAGATGGATATGAACATAGCAGAGATAGATAGATATGAACAGGCAGAGATAGATAGATAGATAGATAGATAGATAGATAGATAGATGGATAGATAGATGATGATGATTGTGATAGATAGATAGATAGATGGATGATAGATGGATGGATGGATGATAGATAGATAGATAGATAGATAGATAGATGAACAGGCAGAGATAGATAGATAGATGAACAGGCAGAGATAGATAGATAGATAGATAGATAGATAGATAGATAGATAGATAGATAGATGACTGATTGTGATAGATAGATAGATAGATAGATAGATAGATAGATAGATAGATAGATAGATAGATATGAACAGGCAGAGATAGATAGATATGAACAGGCAGAGATAGATAGATAGATAGATAGATAGATAGATAGATAGATAGATAGATAGATAGATATGGGGTCTACTAATGTGCTGGAAAGTTTTTGACCTGACTAAAAAGCCTTTCATCTCAAAATCTGACAAATGACTAAACGTCAGACTTTCGGATAATGATCTTTTTGGTCAGCTCATGAAATTTTCAGTACCCCACTCGTATTTTTTTTTAAGCATTACGCCCCGAGCAAGGCGTGAAGCCACTAGGATGCAGGTTGCAGAAGATTTGGAGCGAGAGCAGATAGGAGAGATAGAAGAAAGGATGAGGAGAGGGATAGTGGGCAGATCAAGGCAACTAGAGATGTCGATTGACATTACATTTGAGTAGTTGGAGATTATAGCTCTCAGGGAAACAGTAATAGGGAAGGGTGTTCCACATGCGAGAGGTGCGAGGTATTAAGCTATTGGAGTAGAAGAGACGGCTTCATTTAAAAGTTCCTACAGTGTAAGGGTGGGAGCGGGATGCCAGCCTCGTAGGGCGCTTGAATTCATGGAGTCTGGGAACCAGTGAAAGCAGTATAGCATGACATTAAAGTTTGTTTGTGGTTGTGGAGGGTTAAAAATGGAAAGTCGTTGTATCTTAGCTTGAATACAGAAACAAGTGTTTGATTGCCAGTTAATGAAACCATTGAAGAAACAGTCCGGCTTTGACCAGGCATACGTGTGTAAACAAACATGGCGGATATTACACAAAGCGCGTTTTCTTCTTTTCTTGCTTCTGCAACGGGGGGTTAATGAAATGGAAATGAAGAAAGTCAAGATAAAGAAGCAGTTGGCAAAACTTCATTCATTAATTTGTTCATCCATTTATCTACTCGACGATATTCATTCATCTTTTTTATATATATAATTACGTTATGTTTAGATAAGTCCTTTACTTTCTGGGTGTCGGACACAATGAGAACTACTGTTAATTTTATGATCTATAAGTTTCGTTAAATCTATCTTTGTAAAATCTGTCATTGAGGTTTCTAACTGAAAAAAATCCATGTGTATTTTTATACTTTCTAAATACACATTCATTTTCACGCTGTCAATCACCAGATAAAGGGAAAGTGATACATATTATATTAGATAACGAACTTAATGAGAATATATTTTTGAATGAACCTTGTTATTTTCACTTGAAATTAACAACATCTGATACATTTCCCTTTTTACAAACGCAAACAAATATTCTTATTTATATTTGTTTAAAGGCTGCCAAAGGCATCCGTTAAGCTCTTTGTCAACTCACTTTCTATGTATAGATATCATAACTATTTGTAAATAATATGCAGGAAAAACATTAACACGGGTTGAGCGAGGGAAACAGGGTAGATGAATCTGTTTGTTTTAGCAGGAAGTCACAAGGCAGCGTGACCGAGCGTCTGAGCGTACTTACCTTGTTGAAATGTAGATCACATCAGATTACGCACTGTCTTACAAGAACCGAAATTAAAATCCGATTAGGTTAGTTGCACCATAAACCACAGGTAGTTCTCTGGGTGCTGAACAAACATATATATCTGAGCGAGCGTCTGCAACAGGGATTAGCTAGACGCTAGAATACATTGCATAGTCTTCGAAGAGTGATCGATGCCTACGATTGGCAAAAAGAAAATTGTGTAAGGAGAGCTACTCTGTGATTAGCAGCTAGATTTCATTTCTATGAAAATATATTTTTTTTTTAAATTACGGAATAAGGATTCCATTATTTCATCGGCATCATTGTTTTATTCATCCATTATTACTGTTTTTATTTTTCGATCTTTTGATGCAATTCTCTTCATCATTAATTAATGAGCGCGAACGGATACCCTCAATACAGACACTATTATTATAAAATGCCAAATATGACAAAAATTGCTTTCTTGTTTTCAGCTTTTGGAACAAACAGACAAACATAAAAAATCAGATCATTATTATCGGATAAACTCAAATGGATACACCACCACTATTATCATAAAGTATCAAATTTGAAGATAATTTGCTTTAATCTTTATTAATCTGTATTTTAACAATATTATTTCAGTATAAATGTTGTTATAATGTGCAATTGTCGTTGTATGGTTCTTAACAAAGTTCACGCGGCAAGTTGGCGAAATACAATCTTCCAAGTTGGAAGTGCTTTAACAAATTAACGTTTGAAACATATTTTTTCCTCGAAGTGCACAATTTTATTATTGTTGTAAAAAACAGTTATAAATAAAAAAAACAATGTTATAAATAAAAACAATGCTATAAATAAAAAGACAATGTTATAAATAAAAAAAACAATGTTATAAATAAAAACAATGTTATAAATAAAAAACAATGTTATAAATAAAAACAATTTTATAAATAAAAACAATTTTATAAATAAAAAACAATATTATAAATAAAAAAACAATGTTATAAATAAAAAAAACAATGTTATATATAAATGAAAAGCTTGAAAAAATATAAATGACCATAATGTGGTAATCGAAAAAATAGAAAAAAACGTTCTCTCTTCTTGTTTTGTTTTTCGTGTTTTTTTAATTATTTTAATTTTTCATGTTTCCGCTTAACTTGATTATAGTGATTTTCCAAGCGTAGCTTAGAAGTGGCACAAGGCCGAAAGTAGGAGGCACCTTGATTATATATTGTCTACTTTTTCTTACGCTTCCTTTTTCAATCAAATCTTTTTTTAATATGTCCGATTTTAAAGTAATAATTTGAAATCTTGTTTCAACATCACTTACCAAACACACCTGCCTTTATTTGTAGATATCGCCAAGGGTCAAAGATCAACTAAGAGTTCACAATTACATAGCACATGGATTAGAATGCAGTAGTAATTGTCAATACCTGATTTGCCTTCTGCATTTTGAGTAGAGAAGTATAATGCATATTTTATCTTGTTAGTGATTACCTACGAATTAACAATAATATAAACCGGATGTCGAAAAAAGGAAGTAAAACATTTGTGGTTCTGATTTGAATAAAAAATAGAAAAATACATGAAATAAAAAATAGAAAAATACATGAAATAAAAAATAGAAAAATACATGAAATAAAAAAATAGAAAAATACATGAAATAAAAAAAATGAAAAAAATACACGAAATAAAAAAAAAAATAGAAAATATATGAAATAAAAAATAGAAAAATACATGAAATAAAAAATAGAAAAATACATGAAATAAAAAATAGAAAAATACATGAAATAAAAAATAGAAAAATACATGAAATAAAAAATGAAAAAATACACGAAATAAAAAAAATAGAAAATATATGAAATAAAAAATAGAAAAATACATGAAATAAAAAATAGAAAATACATGAAATAAAAAAAGAAAAATACATGAAATAAAAATAATAGAAAAATACATGAAATAAAAAATGAAAAAATACACGAAATAAAAAAAATAGAAAATATATGAAATAAAAAAATTAAAAAATACATGTCACAAGAAATTTTTAAAGAAAATAAGAACAAAATAATGTAAAGTTGTAGCTGAAATGTCTGAGGCATAATGAGGAAAAAGGGTCTGGAGTATCAAATACTCACAGGAGATACTGAAGGCAAAAGAATCGTGGGGAAACGGCGATTTGGGGCGAATGGATGGTAAAACAAGAATGAGAAAGGGGCCAAATATATTGAGAGCAACAAAAGACAGGACGTTGTGGGGAACCATGATCCTTCACGTTCTGAAAGGACATGACACATAAAATAAGACGATGGAAAAATGACAGTGAATGATTCTCCCACTTATCAAAAGTGGTTTGTTAAGTTTTTCCATGAAACCGTAAGTTCTATGCTAACAGTTTCTTCTATCGCACTTCTCGTTTGTAGAACTCTGTTCCGCCTTCTGGCATCCAAGTCACATTTGATCTACAAATATATCAACCGTTATCTCCTGTCTTCTTGTCCTCTCTCCTTAATTGTAGTTTTTCTCATATTCTCTAACACTCAGTAACTCTTGCGTCCTAGTGGCTTTATTACCTTGCTTGGGGTGAAATTAATTTTTTTAATGTTTCGTGTTGGAGATTTCTCGCTGAACGATGCTCCACGGTCGGGGAGACCAATTAAAGAAAGGCATTACTTTCTTCTTCTTCATTTGCAGTGTTCCCTCAGGATGTAGATGATAATTAATGACTCCCCACTATTTCCTGTCGTTCGTAGCTCTTAATAAATTTTGTATTTTTGTCATTTCTCCTAAACCCTCTTTCGCCATCCATTTATTCAAATTCACTATTTATCTTATGCGTTGTTTTATCTCTGTCCCTCTTGTCTTCAATATGTCCTGTGAGTATCAGATTTTCCAAACCCTCTTTTCTCATTATGTGCTCTAGAAATTTCAACTGTCTCTTCTTGATGTTAAGTACATTTTTGTTTTCATTTTCTCTAAAACTTCATATGTTCGGTCGATAGTACCCCGGATAAAACCTTTTGGCAACCAAATACAAATGATTATCAACGAGAAAGTGTAGCCTTAAAATTAAAGAAAGGAAAAGAACTAGACAAACAACTTTTTCATAACTGCATCACCTACTCAGATAGGATCAGACCTAAAGCTGTTACCTCTCTTGTCAGTCTTGATAGAATATATCATGTTGTACTAGTAACGGTTAGCTGCTGAGTAGACTGTCACATGAGTAAATGGACGATAATACTCTTGTGTTCGCTGTGGTGAGGTTAAAGAACAACAAGAAAAACTGAAAAAGGCATTTATGTATGGCGACTAGCAGGTTTTCTGTGTGCACTTGCCACTTCAATGACGTGGAGTATCTCCTGGTGGACTTTCTGTTAATTTCGTGGGCAAGGATTTCATTGGCTGAAAAATCATGATAGGATTTCTCATTAGTGATTCACTGAACACTGTTTATAAGTCCGGGAAGGTAATTGGTGTCGAATATTACATTTATCTGCATTACACAGGGTCTCTGAGCAATAAAAAAAATCACTGAATAAAGATAATGATTAAAAAATAGACAGAAAGAGGGAGATAGAGAGAGCCGAGGAAAAGCAAAGATAAAAGGAACCCTTTTGGGCCCAAAGATCAGACGATAATAACTTTTACTGAATACAAAAACGGAAATAACTAATAATAATAATAATAATAATAATAATGTTTTCGATCTGTAGAATGTGAATTGAGATTTCTCGATCGTTCACTGGTTAAAAGTGAGTCATATAGAGTTAGCCAAAAAATTCATATGGCATGAGGAGAGTTTAGTTATTCGTTAATTTAATAGGAGTAGATAGGCTCACCTATCGCCCAGTTCACAAACATCCCCGGTCTTTTGAAGAGGAGTAGAGGTGTATCCCTTGTTTCCTGTTTAAGATTCGGTTTCCGGTTTCTTCGTATACTTCGACACTAAACTTCTAAAATCTCTGTTGAGACTCTGTAGTTTTATTTACTACTTATTTTTTTTCCTCAATAGAAGATAGGTTCGCGTATCACCCAATTCACACTCCTCCCCAGTCATTTGAACGGAAGTAGACGTTTATCCTTTGTTTCCTGTTTAGGGTTGGATTTCCGGTTCCTTCTAAATTACACTTCAACAATATATTTCTAACATCTTCGCCTAAACTCCAAAATTTGGTTAAATATTTATTTTATTTTCTCAATAGGAACAGATAGGTTGGCCTATCGTCTGGTTTACCCTCCTCTCCAGTCTTTTGGACAGGAGTAGTAGTTTATCCTGTTTTGCCTATTCAGGATTGGGTTTCTGGTTCTTTTTTAAATGATACTCCGACTCTATACTTGTAACGTCTCTGCCTAAACTTAAATTTATGCTATTATTGGGTTTTCAATTCCTTCTCATTCATTTCTTGCATCTTAGTGGTGTTATCACCTTGCCTGGGGTGAATTGATTTTAAAAAAATTAAAAAAGATCATGCTGTAACAGCTTTAATATCAGTGTGCATTGTAAAATTATCACAATTGCCATATTTCTATTTATAGATTCTAATAGTGGAATAAAATGAACATTTTGGGCAGATTATGATCTTTTTTATTTTAAGAACAGAAAATGTGCTTACCAAACAACGGAACAAAATTGAGCAGTTTATGGAAAACAAAAAAAATAAAAGTTGTGTGCGACAAGGATTTGGTTTCAAACCGGATTTATTTAACGTGTACAAGGGTTATCTTAAGGAAATTTGCTAACCTAACAGTATTTGGTGGATAACCCTAATAAAGATAGCACTGTGTTGATAATAAACACAGAAATAAAAGCAAAAGAACACACAGAGGACATAATAAAGGAAAATGAGAAGAAGAAAAAAAACAGGAGTAATAATTGAATGTAATAAAATGTAAAAGAGACAGCCTATTGTGATTTACATATTGGAGACATCAAAAAATAAGTATTTCAGTAATAGACAACAGAAGGTGTGACAATAATTCAAAGGGTCACATGTGTAAGGAAATATGAGCGCTTTGATGTGGCCTTTTGCCTAAGCTAAGCCTTATCTAAATTTCTGGGATGAGGAGTTTGTTATGTTCTGCATATCTCTCTGCGTAGTAGTAGTCGTAATACAGTTCTCCGTTTCCTGAATAGCAACCAGGTTTGCTAGGCATAGCCTCCCTATGTTCGCCAGTTGTTCTCTATTTATAATTGTCTATCTAATTTGCATACGATACTACATAGTTATTATTTACAGCATTTATATTCAACAAGGACGAAGACAATAGTCCGAATATAAATAGTTTAAATATCAGGGTTCTTCGGCGAAGGAAAAGTCCGAACGTGCAAGAAATTGATTATCCTTTGTTTCTTGTTTAGGACTGGATTTCCGGTTCCTTCTAAATTATACTTCAAAACTATATTTCTAACGTCTTCGCCTAAACTCCAAAATGGATTGATTGAGAAAAAGAAAATAAATATTAAACCAAATTTTGGAGCTTAGGCGAAGACGTTAAAAATATATTGTTGAAGTATAATTTAGAAGGAACCGGAAGTCCAACTCTAAACAGGAATCAAAGGATAAACGTCTACTTCCGTTCAAATGACTGGGGAGTAGTGTGAATTGGATGATACGCGAACCTATGACTGAGTAATGCATTCGATCCTCAATTGCAAATCTAAGTTAAGCTTTGTGCCAGTAATAGTTGTGTTAGCTTAGGTAACCATTACGAATGAGTTTGATTCTCATTGAGTGCCCAAAACTTGGTATTTTCTAATTGAAACATATATGCGTTAAATAAAATTATAGTAAATACTCGTACTCGTACTTAAAATAGACGCAACATTTTTATTTTTACTTTAAACAGTGTATATTAAATCTGTCATCCTGCGCATTCGAAAAATCTTCAGAAAATATAATCCCCTGTTGGAGATTATTAAGCTTGCTTTAATACGAAAATCGACAAAATTAATACACACAATAAAAATGAGGCGTCTATTTCAAATAAGACTATCCACCATAATAACATTTAAGTTTTATATATATATAAGGTTGAGCTCTCTGGGGAGAAAGCGTGAATTTGTAAAGAGTGACTACTACTGCTGCTAATGCATGACTCTTCTAATGAATTGAGTTCTCTCCGTCACGGGTGTTTGTTTAAAATAAATACTCTGAAATCCACCTTCCCCTATAGCCAATAGCTTAGGAGTAGATGCTGCGACAGATGCCAAATCAGCCGGGTTTCGATCCCGGATTGAAACAGTCGGATGAATGGTCACACTGATGATACAGCTAAACAGTATATATATATATATATATATATATATATATATATATATATATATATATATATATAGAAAGTACTGAACGGCCGTTTTGTCCTCTTTGGAATATAGGATCCACAACCGAGAATCGAAACCGGAGCATTTCGACACAACACAAACGCCGTACCAACTGCACTACGGGTTCCGGTGACGAAGAAGACAAAAACTAGACTCGATATAGCTCCGTTACTCACTCAGTTCCGGGGTGATACTCATTCAAGTGTGCGGATAACCTCGAAACAGTGTCCGAGAGCCACGTCTTCTTTTTGACCCTTGGCCGTGCCTCAGGAGCATTAGCTGGGTCAAGCAAGAATATACAAGTGAATATATATATATATTTCCCTAAAAAATATCTCTAGTGACTCACCATTAAACACTCTTCAGGCAGCCGAGACTTGAAGAGTTGCTCACTGGCGTAAGAATGAAACTTAAAGTTGTAGCTGTTAGGTCGAAACAACTTTTGGCGAATAATATATTTTCTCTGTCGGTGAACTATTTTTTTCTTTCAATGTCTCCTAGAAATTGTAATAAATTTATCCTCATCATAGTTGGCGTTTTAACTACTGGTGGACTCAGTGGATGTGCAAAAAACACAAATATGCCTGCGCAAGCGCAAACGCCTCAGAGACTGGCTAAGCCGCCCTAACATACGGGCGTACTTGGAAACGAGTAGCCAGGAATTATATATATATATATATATATATATATATATATATATATATATATATAGAGAGAGAGAGAGAGAGAGAGAGAGAGAGAGAGAGAGAGAGAGAAAAGACAGGGGAGAAGATACATATATATATATATATATATATATAAGACATTTTTATGTTTATACATTCTTTGTATAGATACAAATATTTAAGTAAATGCTCTTTTTTTATAATAAACATAAAAATAATCTCCGAAAAATTTTCATAGAAAATATTCGTTCTCCGACAGGATTCTAACCTGTATCCTATACGGGACCGTCATTTATTCTGACGTGCTCTTAGCCGATCGAGCCACAGAGAATCGTTCAATTAGCAAGGTCGAATTTACTGCCTTTAAACTTCAATCTTCCATGAATCTCTCACGTACATTTATATCTGCTCAAAGCGTATCCAGATGTAAACAAATGACGTCACACATTATGAAATGGACAAAGTCCGACAATTATTTTTCAGACATTTTATAGATAAACATAAAAATGTCTTAAAAATAATTGTCAGACTTTTTCATAATATATATATATATATATATATATATATATATATATATATATATATATATATATATATATATATAAACCGAGATAGATAGATATGAACAGACTGAGATAGATAGGTAGATAGATAGATATGAACAGACTGAGATAGATAGATAGATAGATAGATAGATAGATAGATAGATAGATAGATATGAACAGACTGAGATAGATATGAACAAACTGATATAGATAGAACGGACTGATATAGATAGATAGATAGATAGATAGATAGATAGATAGATAGATAGAAAAGTACCCAAAATCTTATAATCCGACTTCAAGCGTAAAATAAATCTATTGAATTCATTAACATATATTATAATTATATACAATGTATAAAAATGCAAATTCAAAACTTGTTCTATACTAAAAGCATTATAAAATTACAAAGTTTAAACGTAAAAAAAAATCTTGATGGCAACATTTTAACTGAAACTGTTTGATTTTCATATCTTTATATTTGTTTTGTGAGGCATTAAAAAATCTTGTTATCATTATTATTATGATTACATATGGACACCTTACAAATTTTAAATTGGAATAAACATGTCTATATAAGTAAATTTTAAAAAAAATTCTTCCTGGTATTATGTTTTTAATTGGTCAACAATTAAATTGTCCTCAGTTATATCTTTATGGTCATTACCCTGTTTTATTTATGTCCTTGTTTTCTTATAGCAGCAAAAAATATATACGTTTTTCTCGTTAACACAGATTTATTTCATCAAGAAAAATCTATCATACTGTTTACATCAGCTTTGAAATATTTTTTTTTTCTAGTTTCGTGCTTAATACCACTTCATTCTTGTTCTTCCCGGTCAATTTTAGTTCCTTCTTACAAGGATACATTGTGTGAGAAGCACACAGAAAGTTTATGTAGGTGTTTAAAGTGATTCGCTTTTCGGGCAGAAGAGGCGATAAGAGAGAACTCAAATTGAAACAAAGAGGTTTTTTGTACAAGAATTTAAGTGGCGCTCTCATCTCTTGGTTTGTTCATCTGTTTTATAGGAATAAAGTGTCGGTGCCAACACTTGAGTTTGAACATAGATCGCCAGTGAATAAATATAGGCGATCCCATTATTGAATTAAGTAGATCACAGGACAATAGAGGAAATATATATATGGGAATTAGCATTTCTATTCTATCCTCTATTACTATATGGATCACTCTTTCTACACGATCATCTATCTCTATACTATTCACTATACTAGTTCTCTATACTATTCACTATACTATTTCTCTATACTATCCACTATACCATTTTTCTATACTGATCACTATACTATTTCTTTATACTATTCTCTATACTAGTTTTCTATACTGATCACTATACAGATCGCTATTCGGTGACTACTTTTCGAGCTAGTATTATCGAGCAAGTCCTATTAGTGTTATTCGAAAGCGTCTGACACCAGCGTTGTCCGATGGCGTTACTATAGTTGTATCTGCGATTACAAAGTCTCTACTACAACGAGCATTACGAAAGTGACAACGAGTATTTGTCGACATCACAAAATTCTTAAAGGTCTTATTCCTCAACAACAAACATCTTGACATCTTGAATTCCAGCAGTAACTATTATCTACTTTATATCCTCATAATATGGGACTTAGCGCGGCGTCTAATTGATCACTATTTCTACACTATCCTCTATTACTGTCGCGATTCTCTTTACTATCCTCGATACTATTTCTTTATACTGATCACTATATGGATTACTATTCGGATTACTATGCGGATTACTATTTGAGCGAGTATTATCGTGTAAGTACTATTAGTACAAGTGTTATTCGAAGGCTTCTGACACCAGTATCGTTCAACGGCGTCACTATAGTTGTATCTGCGATTACAAAGTTTCTATTACAACGTGCATTACGAAAGTGACAACGAGTATTCGTTGACATCACAAAAGTGGCAACGAGTGTTCGTTGACATCACAAAATCATTAAAACAGAAGGATTTTAAACCAAATTTCTAAATTACAATTGCATCAAATTCCCTTTTTGAAATATTTCTTCGTCCAAGTTTAATTCATTTAAATCCCATTACATGATTTGGTTGAGCCAACCATTATTGCAATGATGTGTGCGAGTCAGTCTCTACAGAATTATTTAATGTCTTGTCCTCCAAATTTATCTTCGATCTACCCCATGTTTTTGGACTTCAAGACTTCACCTCAACGTCATATGAAACTATTGTTGTTTAGACTCGTCAGTGGTCGAGTTATTGACTTTTGTTTTGTGAAGTTTCGGTTGCTTTTTGTCCAAACCTGAAGTCATGGAAATTAAGATAATTTTGGTTTCGTTTTATTGATGTGGCGGAAGGACTTATTAAATAGGTAGCAAAGATTTTATTAAAATCGTGTTTCGGCAGATACATAAAGTTTTTTGTCTAAATATTTTATAACCAAAACAAATTAAACAAATTAAATTTAATGTAAAATACGTTATGAATTTTGAGGAAAATATCAAAAAGTGCACAAAACGTAAGTAACAAAAGAACGAGATGGAAAGCGAACAAAGTTCAGACAACGAGAGAAAGAATTGTTAAATGGCAGGAGGTAGAATCAAGGAAAATTTGACACATATTTTATTAGCGTGAATTCAAAGCAGTTTCTAAACGGGTGGCAAATTATAGTTTTGAAACTTTCTGGAAATTATTTCCCAAACTTTTTAATCTACGGATGTTTGAATTCACGTCTACGAGACACGTGCAAATGTAATGACCGAATGCATTTCCTATGCAAAGGAAACAAAGAAGCAACTCAAAAAGAAACAGAAAATGAGGATAAACATGCCGGTGGAGGTTAGCGCTTTTTCTACCGAGAAACTCCACCAGCCTTTACACAACGGAACTTCTATTTGTTGGAAAAAAAAAGCTTTCAACACCACCAGCATGTCTATCGTCACAGGCACTTCTGTTTAGTAGAAAAAAGTGCCACCACCAGCATATTTATCCCCATGGATACTTCTATTTGGTAGAAAAAACACTAAACATCACCGGCATATCTATCCTAGCCGGCACTTTTATTTGGTAGAAAACTGTGTTAAACACCACCGGTATATCTATCCACACCGGCGCATCTATTTAGTAGAAAAAAACACTAAACACAACCGGCATATTTACCCTCACAGGAACTTCTATTTGGTAAAAAAATAAGGCGAAAAACACCACGAATGTGTCTATCCTCAACGGCACTTCTATTTGGTAGAAAATACGCTAAACACGACCGGCATATATATCCTGACCAGCACTTTTATTTGGTAGAAAAAAAAACCGCTAAACACCACCGGCATATCTATCCTCACCGGAACTTCTATTTTGTAGAAAAAGCGCTAAACACCACCGGCATATCTATCCTCTGTAGCACTTCTGTTTGGTAGGAAAAAATCGCTAAACTCTATTGGCATATCTATCCTCACTGGCACTTTTATTTGCTAGGAAAAAAGTGCGAACTTTCACCAATCGCGACGAACGAATGTTCCCCCAGGAAGGCCTCGTACCTTGAGCGCCTAGTGGGATTTAAACTCAGTCCACATCTCAAATGGAATTCGTGTATACAATCCATCGCTAAAGATTCTGGAAAAATGATCGCTTCCATTTACCAATCCAGCAAGTACCGACTCTTCGTGCTGTCCTCTACCAGATCAGACCGAAAATGAAATACTGCCGCCGGATATGGACAGGAGCAGCCCAGTCTTCACTTTACGCTCACGATAGAACCCACTCTACATCTCCTTTCTCACGGAGGAGACATTGTAATTCAAGGCTATAGGACCAGCCTGTCCTACTGTTTACACATGGCTCGAGGAGAAGTGTTGGATTCATACTTTTCCCAACGATATTTGCGTGTAACTTAATGTAATGAATGTAATTAACTTTTTCAACTCTAGGGTTAGCTGTTATTTTCTGCACATATCCCTATAATCTGAGACTCTTACTCCGTAAGCCTCTACTTCGAGTCACGCTCGAGTTTTGTACAGGGTGAACATCATTGTAAAACGAAACCTAGCCTCGACTTTCTACAAGGTTACAAAATGAAGGCACATGACATATTAAGGACAAGAGAAATAGTTGGAGGCGGAGAGCCAATTATCTGACAAGCTTAGGAAAATGGATAAAGAAAGACTGCTATGATTATTATCACCAATGTCATGAAAGGACGTGGCACATAGTAGAAGAATAATGGAAAATGAATTCGCAGCACATCAATAATAGCCAGTCATTTCCTAACACTGTGACCGTCCTATATATGCTAAGTGTTGATGGCATTACCATTCAATTAGCTTTTGTTTGTTTACGGCTTTTTTCAATTGACTTTTGTTTTCGAGTTGTGCGTCTCTATTCAATTTTGTTTACATTACGTTTTCTGTACACAACACACGTGACGTATTTGTCTAGAATTACTTGTTGGGGAAAACGTTGAAGAATCTGATGCTGTTGAAGGACTGACATAAATTATTTACATTATTGTAGGCGT